TACAATATCCTACAAACTCTGAAGCATTTAAAATCTTTTTGTACAAATGACAGTCACTTTGTCTGAGGCTATTTAGAGCCTGTTTGATTAAAACAAAAACATGGGCATTTTCACTTATGAAATTAGCCATTGGAGGTTGGTCCTCTTTGAGAAATACCTTCTGATAGGTAGGCAGTGTCTTAAAATCGGTGACGTTTTAACCATAGACACCAGCAAGCTAATATAGGGTCTTGTTTACACACAGCTTCTTAATTTGTTTAAATCTTACCCTGGCTTGGTAAGGAGTTTCTGAGGGACATAAAGCTGCCACCCCCTGGGGAGAAAGCTGATTTTCAAGGACAACACTGATTAATAGTTGAGACTGTCCTCCAGTTCTGGGTTTGTGGCAAGAGGAATGACAAGGTTTTGAAAAGGAGAAAATGTTAAAATGAGAAATTCTGCAAAGTCCAACAGGCAAAGGAAAGTGTGATCCCAGCATCCTTTGAAAAGGAGGTAGTGGGAGCTGCAGTAATTCCTACAGAACCTGGAGTTATACAAGTGAAAAGAATTTCTGTGGCATGCCCGGCATCTGGAGCTGTGTCCACCCACGATGAGACGTGGTGCCATCGACCCTCATCCAGGCAGATGATCAGGAATGGAGGTGGCACTGTGACCTCCTCTCTTCTGCCCAGCCACAGTGCCCTTGATGTGCTGTGGCCAGGGCTGCAGGAAACTGGCCCACATGCCCCTCTTGTAGAAATGCCTCAGTGTTGTGGGGTGGGAGCTATTTATAAGCACAGAGCAGACTGGTTTTCCAGTCTGTGACGTGGAGTCAGAGGAGACTTGGGTTCTCCAGCTGCTGTCTGAGGGAGAGATCCAAGTCTAAAGGAGACTGCTGTACTCATCCAAAGAACTTTCACGGAATTGTTATTTCCTCTCCTGGCTGTTGGGAGGTATAGATGGACTCGGTTTGTATCCTGGGTCCCACCACATCGTAGCTGTGCGATGCTGGGCAAGATACATGCTCTCAGTTTTTTACTGGTAAAATCGAGAGTCACATACCTCAGGGTTAGAAGGAGGTGCATGTAAAGTGCCCAGCCCAGTCGGTGCCTGTTTTTGGGCTGCAGATGTTACTGGGGACCGTCTCCTCACTCCCCATAACAACAGCCAGACGCATTTGTGGGCTTTGTAGAGCTTGAGACGAGCAATTCTCAGGCTTCCCAGTGAGAGAGATTTATTTGCAGGCTGAAGGAAAGAGGTCCACTGTGCAGTGATCTGGATCACCAGTTGCTATTGAGTTGGTGACCTCTTGTGTGTCAGGCCAGAACTGTGCTCCACAGGGTTTTCAGTGGCTGATATTTTGGAAAGAGATTGCCAGGTCTTTCTTCTGAGGCACGCTTGCTGGACTCAAACTGCCAACCTTTTGGTTAGTAGCCAAGCAGGTAACTGTTTGCATCACCCAGGGACAGCAGTCTCCCACCTGTCATTAGTGTATAAATGGACACTGAAATGTATTCCACGCATCCTGAATGCCCAGGAGTCTGGCAGCCCCTTCCTCCCCCTCCCCCTGGAGATCTTCCTAGCTCCCCTCTGGCTTTCCTCCCACCCACAGGTGGCCCAGGTGTGCGCTCTTCCCTCTTCATCTTCTGACATGTGAATTGCTGGGGGCTCAGAATTCAGGTGCTGAATTGCCTGCTGTTGAGTCACATGGTGGTTTTTCAAAAAAAACCCTTCCTCCTTACCAAGTCACATTCCTGACGGAGACTACACCCAGCAGCCCTGACTCCTGGCCTTGCTGTGGGCTCCAGTTGCCCTCAGGCCGCCTTCCCACTGCCACACTGCTCATTATGTGATGTGTCCTCGGGGGAAATACGGTTGGGAGAGTGTAAAATTAGATGAATATGCCGTCCTTAATCAGCACTTGTGGTTCCCTCTGCTGTGCCTTTTCATTGACTTCTGTTTTCTTTCCTCCGAGTATTCTCTCATCCTTTGAATGCTCTGGAGCCCTGGTGGCCCAGTGGTTAAGCACTTGGCTGCTAACTGAAAGGTTGACATTTCGAACCCACTCAGTAGCTGTACAAGAGAAAGATGTGACAGTCAACTTTGTAAAGATTATAGACTTGGGAAGCCTATGGGGAGTACTGCTCTGTCCTTCAGGGTTGCTATGAGTTAGAATCAACTTGTTGGAACTGGTTTGGTTTTTTGGTTTGGGAATGCTCTTAGCCTGAGTCTTTGCAGTTTCTCTTTCACCATGACTCTTTTCTCCCCAAAAGCAAACCACCCCCTTCTCCTCGTGTTCCTTTCCTTTCCAGAATGTAGTTCGTGTTGCGCAATGTACCCATCTCCAGGAGCCCTGACACATTCCTCCTGTTTGCCACCTCTCACCTCTGCTTTTGCTTTGAGTATGTGACAGTGTGTGACAGGGTTTGCAAGGGCAGTTGGCAAGTTTGGACATTTAAATGAAGCCAACAGAGTGTTTCCTCAACTGGGCTGGGAAATGGGAGGCCCAAATTTCTGCCTGTCCTTGGTCTGCCTTCCTGTGTGAAAACAGTATTAATTTAACACCCACCTGCCTGCCTGTACCTCCAGGACCGGAAACACCAGGTTGGATGATGGTTTGTCAAATGCGAGGTTATCCCCTTGAAATACAATGGGAGAAGTTGCAAAATTCACCTCTGGTAAAATACTTCTTAGACCTTTGAAGTAGATTTATTACTTATTTGTTCTGCATGTCACTTTGAGTGTTATGCTTTGCAGGTAAGAGATGGTTTGTTGAGTAGGAATTATTTTCAGTTAATTTTAGTTTCAGATCTTAAATTTTCTTATTCAGTTATCTGAACATCAGATATCATCCCATAATACAGGGATGAAAAGAATCGTGCGTACCTGAGGGTAATTGTGATGCGCTGAGAATAGGCATCATGTCCTAAGAGCTCTCTATGTGTTGCTGTTCTTATGGAATTTTGAATCTATTATTGTGTACATAGATCATCTGTACACACAGTCTGGCTTGACTATTGGTTGAAAATGCACCGCTCCACGGCTCCTTGGTGGATAGTTTACTGAACATTGCCGATGGCTTCTCTACCTGACAGGAATTTTCTAAGAGATGCTCCTTCGTGCTCCTCTCTTATGATCCGTAACAATATGGGAGCTTGGTTTTGCAGTCCACTTCATCAGCTAACGCAGTAGAGGCTGTTATATATATCCTTTTCCAAATGTTGCTACCTCATTTACATCTTACACTATGCAAGTATACACTTTCATGTGATTTGGAGACTCTCAAAGAGTTAATGGTATGTTTCATCATGGTTCAGTTCCATTCTGGCTGGGGCAGGGGCAGTCCACCTACCTCTGTGCTGACCTTTGCAACCCATAACAATACCACCACCCCTTTCTGCTTCATTCTCCTCATCAGTGAAAATAAATGTGTGGAACAGATTGTGGAGTCAGATATAGTTCATGTGCTCACTGCTAACCAAAAGTTCGGTGGTTTGAGTGCTCCCAGAGGCACCTCAGAAGAACAGCTTTGTGATCCACTTACGAAAAATCAGCCATTGAAAACCCGGTGGAGCACAGTTCTACTCTGATACACGTGGGGTTGCCATGAGTTGGGACTGGCCTAATGGCGGATGGTTGGTTGGTTGGTTTGGACCAGACTGTGTGGCACTCAAAAAACCTAACACTTTAAGCTCACGGTATCTTTCTCCTTGTTGCTTCAGGGACTGAAAATGAAGGAAAGGCTACACCAGCATTGTCCAGTAGAAATAGGATGCAAACCACATATTAAAAAAAAACTGCCGTCGAGTCAAATTCGACTCATAGCGACCCCTTCTTTGGTTTCCAAGGTGGTATCACTACAGAAGTAGATTGCCCAGTCTTCCTTCCAAGGAGTGGCTAGTGGGTTTGAACCACCAGCCTTCTGGTTAGCAGTCAAATGCCTTAGGCACTCTGCCACCATATGTAATTTAAAATTTTCTAGTTAAAAAAAAAGTAGGTAAAATTAATAGTATATTTTATGTAGCCCAATATATCCAAAACATGATCATTGCAACATGTAATCAATATATAAATGATGGATAAAATATTTTACATTTTCTTTGGTTATGCTTGGTCTTTGAAATCCATTGTGCATTTTATAGCCCATCTCCATTGAGACTAGCTGCAGTTCAAGTGTTCAATAGCCAAGTGGCTAGCGGTTACTATACTGGGCAGTGGAGGTCTCTTGGGATTACCTGGAGTCCTAAGACTTCAACTCAGGTCCGTTAGTATCTACAGCTTCTATCCTAATCCATCCTTTTCATTTTGTGGCTGGAATTTATAAAGCTGAGCCTAAAAGGAGATCATCCAAACTGGGGTATACTTTGTGTGTCGTGGTAAATATGCAGGTAACAAAACATTAGCTATTTCAACATTCTTCATATGTGCAATTCAGCGACATTAATTATATTTATCATATGTTTCAACCATCACCATTTTCCATTTCCAGATTTTTCCCTCACCCTTAACAGAAGCTCAGTGTCCAAACTGGGGTCTTTTTTGAGATGTGATTTTTCTCATATGCCATTCTCTTCTGGTGGCATAGTGCCTAAGGCATTTGACTGCCAGCCTGAAGGCTGGTAGTTCAAATGCACCAGCCATTCCACAGAAGGAAGCTGGGGCAATCTGCTTACCACTTCGGAAACCTAAAGGGGTCGCTGTGCGTCGGAATCAACTCGATGGCAGTGAGTTTTTTGTTTGTTTGTTTTCGGTAGCTCTGTAAGTGGCTCTAAAGTGATACTTTCAGCCATATTCTATGCACATAAAATCTTGGAAAAGAGCTCCCAGCAGGCCTACCCAAGGCCTGGCTCCTAAGCGCAGATGAGTACACAGACGTGTATTTCCACAGTGCCATAGAGCGGCCTCTGCTTAACCTTCTGTTGCCCAGAGCTGGAGTGGGGAGAGGAAGTGAATTTCTCTGTGGGTAGGGAAAATTAAGAAGTGAATTGAGCAGTAAATCAAAATTTTGTCTTTGTCTTTTCATTTAGTGGAATAGAAGATGAGCTCAACTGAATTCAGTGAAGATGTAGAAGAAGGTAAAGAAACAAGCCTGTTTCTAAAAATGCTTTAATATTTTTCGTTGAGTATCTCATTCATGTGGTTCAAAAATATAAAAAGGTGTATAAAGGAAAGCTCCCACCCTCTTCACCCACACACTTGTGATAGCATCTTACGTGTCTTTGTAGGGTTGCTTTTAAAAAGCATAATTTAAAAATAATATCTCTTTCTATCTGTCCAATCCCACAATCCCCAAAAAAGACATTAAGGACTATTTTGAACAAGATATTTTTGGAACATGATTTTATTGTATAGCACTAGTATGGTAAAATAAAAATTGCCTTATTGGAAAGTGACGTCTTACTGTGACTAAACATTATTATCTGAGTGACAGTGTCAGCGAGTAGCACGCAGGCAGCCCTGTTCCTCAGGGGCACTGCCAACCTCTCTGAGCACCCGGAGGCTGTGGTTTCCCACTGAGCCCTGTGTCCTCTCTGCTGCAGTTCTGAAGAATAATGCTGTGAAAGTGGAGACAGAGGCGGAAGATGCTGCCTTGGACTGCTCAGTGAACTCCAGGTCTTCCGAGAAGCACCCTCTGGACAGTGTGTTCACTGCCCTCCAGGACTCCAGCAAGCGGAAGCAGCTGGGCAGTGATGGGCAGCCAGACCCCATCGCCAGTGTGAAGAGGAGGCGGCTGATACCCGAGGTGAGGGCTCAGCCCCTGTGCTGTTTGCCTGCGCTCTAACCCCCTCTGATTAGACACATCATCTCTCTCTGCTCTTGGGCATCTGGGCAGCTGCTAAACCTCGGGCATGACAGGCTTTCATTTAAGCTGTTTGTTTTGCTTTGCTCCACAGGGAAAGCAAGAACTTGTTGACAGCAGAGACTGTTAAAATAAGCATATCACTTTACCCTGTAGACTGATTCTTGGAAAAGTTGGATTAGCAGGTCTTTTCCTACATCCAGTTTATCAGAGGAGCTTATTCCTTAAAAACACTCTTCAGTGCATCTCTGCATTGAGAGGAATGAGGAATTCCTTATTCCAATGAGAAAATGAGGAATTATTTTATTCTTTTATATCATACCTGTTACCCTTTAAGTTATGTATGTTAGTCTATGTTATAAGTTTGTTTTTTTTTTTTCACATAAGAAAATCCAAATGAAACTTTATTTTTTTCATAGCCCAGAAAGTGGAATTGAACAAAGTACCTCTCTTAAGACTTATACTGGCTTCTGGTCATTTCATTCTGATTGTTTTATTTCTTAATCACCTGCTGGTTATATTGAAATTAGCTCAATGCTGAGAGAGATAGGAAATCGAAATGTAAGACATGGCGGGCCCCTCCAGTAGCCTACAGTCCACTTGGAGATAAGACATGTACATGAAACCATAAGACTAAGGAGAGAGAGACAACTTTGAGAAATGAGGATGGTGTGTGGCCTGTGGTCCCTCATCAGCATAATGTCTCCAAGGACCAGCAGATTCTGCCTTTAAATCTTACAAGGACATATTCTCAAGTTTCCATCCCCCCCACTCCCCTCCCCCCCACATACACAAACTCTTTGGAAGGCTCAGATAAACAGTTCAACCTCTGCATGTCTGTCTAAACATGCCCAATTTTTCAAGGTTCATCCATCATTAGCCAGGGAGGTGGAGGTGTCAGCCTAGAACTCTTGGTTGTTATTAATTTGTTTTCATTCTCCTCTCTTGGATATTCAGGCAGGTCCAAATAAAAGGAGACTTTGTAGATGTTAGGGAATTGGTTGTTGTTAGGTGCCACTGAGTCCACTCCGACTCATAGTGACCCCACGTGCAATATAACAGAACACTGCCCGGTTCTGCACCATCCTGAGTTCTTGCTATGTTTGACCCCATCGTGGCAGCCACTGTATCAGGCCATCTCGTTGAGGGTCTTCTCCTTTTTTTTGCTGACCCACCACTTTACCGAGCGTGATATCCTTCTGCAGGGAATGGTCTCTTCTGACAACATGACCAAAGCAGGTGAGATGAAGTCTGGCCATTCTTGCTTCCAAGGAGCATTCGGCTGCACTTCATTTTTCTGGCAGTCCATGGTATTTTCAGTATCCTTTGCCAGCACTGCAATTCAAGGCATCAACTCTTAATTCTTCCGTCTTCGTTCTTTATTACCTAGCTTTCATATGCATAACAGGCGATTGAAAGTACCATGGTTTAGGTTGTAATTGTTGTGTTGTCGTTATGTGCCATGGAGTCTGGAGTCGACCCAACTCACCCGACTCATAGCGACCCCTCCTTGGGTTTCCGAGGCAGTGTCACTATGGAAGTAGATTGCCCCATCTTCCTTCCAAGGAGTAGCTGGTGGGTTTGAACTGCCAGCCTTCCGGTTAGTAGTCATGTGCCTTAGGCACTACACTACCAGAGCTCTAGTGGCTTGGGTTAGGTATACCTTAGTCTTCAAAGTGACATCTTTGCTTCTTAACACTTTGAAGAGGTCTTCTGTAGCACATTTGCCCAGTGCAATTGGCATCTGATTTCTTTTTTTAGTACTTTTATTGTGGTTTGGGTGAAAGTTTAGAGAGCAAATTCATTTTCCATATAGTAGTTTATACACATTTTGTTTCATGACACTGACTGTAATTCCCCACAGTGTAACAGCTCTCTTCCCACTTCCTCCCTGTAATTACCACTTCCCTGTGTCCTTCCCTCCTGTGCACTTCTCCCCCAAGCTATCTCCCTGTGCAAACACTGCCCTTTTGTTCTCCCATGAGCATCACTCCAAGTAGTGTATCTACCTGTTGTAAATATGCCTGTCTGTTGTTTGGCTGGAAGCCACAGGAGTGAGGTCAGTTCCAGAACTGAAGAGTAACTAGGGACCACAATCTTAGGGGTCTCACCAGGCTCTATCAGACCAGCAAACTTGGTCTTTTTTTATGATTTTGAGTCTTGTTCCACATTTTTCTCCCTCTCTATCCAGGCTCTTCTGCACCAGTCCCCCTCTTAGTAGTTGACAGTGGTAGCCAGGGACTGTCTAGTTCTTCTGGTCTCCTGGTCATATTGGCTGAGGATCTCATGGTCTGCTAGTCCCTTGGACTAATCGTTTCCATGCATCTTTAGTTTTCTTCATTCTTCTTTGCTCTGGATGAGGAGAGACCTATTGTTGCATCTAGATGGCTGCTTGCAAGCTTGCTTTTAAGATCCCAGTTGCTACTCATCAAAGTAGGATATAGAACAGTGTTTTTGTGTAGTATGTTAATGCCAGTTGAGTTTGATGTCCCTTGCAACCATGGTCCTGAGCTCACAGGTCCAACTCCTCACTCCCTCAGGGTAGCTGGCTATGGCTAAGAAGCCACCACAGCCTTGCCCCCCATCAGCTCTGCTGTACACTTGGACATTTTTACAGCACATACAAATACATATATAGAAACATCGTCTGCCACCTCTATACATGGTCATGACATTTGATTTATTGATGCCTGCTTCCATGCGTGTTGATTGTGGATCCAAGTACAATGAAATCCCTGACAACTTCTTTATTTTCTCCATTTATTGTGATGCTGCTTATTGGTCCAGTTGTGAGGATATTGTTTTCTTTATGTTGAGGTGTAATTGCTACTGAAGGATGCAGTCTTTGATCTTCATCAGTAAGTGTTTCAAGTCCTCTTCATGTTCAGCAAGCATGGTTGTGTCATCTGCATATCACAGGATGTTAATGAGTCTCATCCAGTCCTGTTGCCACAGTCTTCATCATATAGTCTAGCTTCTAGGATTATTTGGTCAGCATACAGATTATGTCTGGTAGAAGGATCCAACCCTGATATACACCTTTCTGATTTTAAACCATGCAGTGTCCCCTTGTTCTGTTTGAACGACAGACAGCCTCTTGGTCTATGTAGATTCCTCACATACAGAATTAAGTGTTCTGGAATTCCCATTCTTCCACCACTTGTCTGTCAGTGTGTCATACTGTGATGGCTTGCCTTTTACTGGGAAGCTGGAGGCTATGCCACCAGTGTTTCAAATGCCAGCAGGGTCACCCATGGTGGACAGGTTTCAGCTGAGCTTCCAGACGAAGACAGACTGGGAAGAAAGACGGGGCCATCCACTTCTGAAAAATTTGGCCAGTAAAAACCGTATGAATAGAGAATTGGTTAGGCTTCAATAAGTATAACTATTATTTTTCTTTAATTAACAAAATGATGAAACTGGGATTTTTCACCAGGATTTAACTATACTTGTTTTCATTAGCATTATAGTGAGGACCGGCATTCCACACCATAGAGCATTGAGTAGTATGTTCATTCATTTATTTTCAAATGGGTTTTATTGAGATAAAATTCATATACTATGTAATTCAACTATTTAAATCGCACAATTCAATGATTTTTATTTATTTTTTTATGAACCACTACGTGAATTCAATTTATTATTACTATAAGAATTTATTATTATTATGAATTTATTATTATCATTATTATTATTATTATTTTAATTGTGCTTTAGGTATAAGTTTACAGAGCAGAGTTTGTTTTACATATAACATTTTGTATACATTTGGTTTCATTCCCCAATTATCATCCCCAACTGTAGTCCAGTCTCCTCCCCTCCCCACCCAGTAACACTCCCCCACCGTGGCCCTCATAGTTATGCACTCCTGTGTGTCCTGCATTTCCTCCATGTGAATGTTGCCCCTCTGGTGCCCTGTGGTCTATTGCACCAAGGGATGCATTTCCATAGAGTATGTGGGTATGTCACCCTGGGTTGGGTGGTCTGCATGTACATCATGTTTACTGTTGGGATGAGAACCAGCCCCTGGGAGTGACTTTTATTCCAGGCCCAAAATGTATCCCAGGGCCATAGTATTGGGGGTCCCACCACACTCCATCTGATCAGTAATTCTGGTCATTATTGTGTTTTGGGGTTTTATTTCATGTTTTTCCTCCCACTCTCTCCAGGATCTCCAGTTCTCACCCTTTCCCAAGTGGTTGGCCTTGGTAGCCAGGCACCATCTAGTTCTTCTGGTCTTGAGAGATCCATCATGTCCTAGGGCTGATTGCTTCCAAATGCCCTTGGTTTTTTGAACTTTTCTTCACTTCCGACAATAGGAGAGCATTAGCTCCATCTTCGATGGCCACTTGAAATCTTTTAAGACTCTAATCACTACTCACCAATGTAGGTTGAGGAACAAGATTTTTATGTACTTTGTTGTGCCAATTGAGTCTGGTGCCCCCCAGTACTATGGTCCTGAGTCGGTAGATCCATTGGATCTCTCTCCCACAGTGTCTGGCTGTCTGTGAGAGATTACTCTATGTCTGTTTTCTGTTATTTCTGTAAGGATTGTGGGTATTTTGTATCACTGGTATCTGTGCAAAAATTCAATGATTTTTAATATCTTCACACAATTGTACAGCCATTAATACAATTTTAGAACATTTTATTACCCCGCAAAGAAACTTCACACCCATTAGCAGTCCCTCCCCATTTTTTCCCCAATCCCCCTAGCCCCTGGCAACTACTAATCTATCTTCTGTCTCTCTAGATTTGCCTAGGGAATCATACAATATATGGTATTTTGTGACTGACTTATTTTACTTTGCTGGTTCATTCATGCATGAATCATTACTTCCTCCTTTTTATGGCCAAATAGTATTCCATTGTATGAATATACCACATTTTGTTTATCTATCAGTAGAAAGGCATTTGGGTTGCTTCCACTTTGGGGCTGCTAT